ACGTCGCATTTTGAGTGAATTTCCACTATCGTGTTAATGACATGGGCTAGTATAGTGCTGATGATTTGATGAGGTAAATGGGAGGTTATAGATGAGGAAATAGACAGCAGCAATTTTTGGTGTTATTTCATCAAGATCAGAAACTAGTGAAATGATCACAAAAAGTAACTAATCCAGAATGACTTAAGGGAATCAAGCTGATGAGATATTTTTTAAGATTCTTTGCAAACCGCCATCAGACAATAACCTTATCGGTGAGATATGCAGGTATCACAGAGAGTAGCAACTGGTCTTGTCGATCCTTCAACGTTTCAAGTTGAGTGCGACGTTGAACTGCCTCGCTTAATCGCATCGCAATCTCCGAGCGATTACCGGCCTCACTCGCATCGGCAATCATACCGATCACCGACAGCAGCGCTTGGTCGATGAACAATGCTAGCAACTGAATCAACTGATTTTTAGCTAATAATCTTGACTGATAAAAAGTTTTTAGGTGAAGTAGTTTTTGGTCACCGTGTGTCGTGAGTTAGTGTTACATTAGCTGAATGGACTCTGCTTTATGAACAATGAAAAATTACATATGAATACTGCATAGCTAAGATTTTGTTTGGATAAATCGTGCAAGTTTCTGAAAGCTGAGGATAAACATTATTTGAAGGAAGCAAAAAATTTTGCGACTGCTACGTATAATATTATATTAGTTATATGATATATTACTATTAGTTATGATATCTGCTACGTATTACTTATATCTGATTAGTTTGATATGATAATCCTCAATTCCTCTCGTAATGCCTAGTAGATCTGCAAAGAGATCAAATGTGTAGAAATGAATGGCATGCTAGACTTCTGTTCACAGCAATTCCCCTTCACAAATACGGATAGTTCTCTGGAACTGTGACTCTTCAATCGAGAACATCAACAGCAGTTGTCTTGGAGCCTTGAATCAGCAGGTCTGTGTGAGAGGATCAAAAGCCACAGAATTGTTCTATGAGATTTGTGTGTTACAATAGCGTAAATATGCTTGTTACCATCACTTTTTCTAACAAACTTTTTTTAAACGAAGAATCATTCGGATTGGTTGTTCCAATGAATAACACCAAAAATATACTGTAGCATCTCAAAACCTCGTATATATACAAAAGATTTGTCGATATGACACTATAGGCCACAAATGTAGCCACAACCAAATTCATCGCATTCCATATTAACGATATTATCAAAAATAAACGTCTTTGACGTGGCAATATGAAGAACTGAAAGAGTGTTGTTATACAAAGACCACTGCTTAACGCGGCCAATCCGGGTGTTCTACCCTCGCTGACAGCCTGAAAATATGAAAAGTTTGAGGTTCACTTGGTTGAATTCTCCTTGGAACTCTCAATTGTTGTTCAGTACGTGTAAGCACATTTTTTCCCGTTCCTCAGTGACTCAAACTTTTTTCTGAACGAATTTCTTCCCATTGTATCATAAATACACTTCCGTATTGAAGATGCAAAACAAAACAATAAAGATAGCAGAGTGTTTACCTGCAATAAGCCAGGTAAGTGAATTGTCCATATAAAAACCGGAAACAGTAACGACGGTATAAGTGAAAAAATCACAACATTACATTTGCCACTCTAAAAAGTTTAAATCCATAAAGCATCTATCAATCTTTACTGTTGAGAGGCGAAGTGTGAATGAGATATATAAATACATTCGTGCATATAAATCCCGATTCTAGACATGCAAAAAATCTCGATTCTAAATCCATCAAAATTCAATGAGATACGCACTGATTTTTGATCAGTAGCGTTGAAATGCTCCAATTAGTTTCAACGAATAAAAGATATAAAAGCTGTCGATATAATTAAAGATTAACTGCGTAATTCTTCAGAGAGATCGAAAAAACAAGATATTAGTTTTTTAATGATTAGCTCGATGAATTTTAAACATATTTTATGTGTTATGTACACTAGTATTCCATCTCGTTCATGTAATTTCCTTTCCATCCTTCAGTGGAGAGTTCTGTGGTTGAATCGGAAATACGAGAATGTGTATTATCGTTATCCATCGTCGGATAACACGTTAATTATGTTCGGGGTAGATGCATATATGATGTTCCGTGCTATTATGAAATAATTCATCAAATGACGATAAAATGAACCAAGTACATGTCATGTATCAACGCACCTCTTCGCCATATCGTATTGCAATTGAGCTAATAATGGTATAAAGGACAAAGCATAGCGCTATTATGAAACACGCGATTGACCATTGCTGAAAATACATACACAACATTCAACTTCTCTGCGATTCATGAAGAAATCAAACGAATAAATCAGCTCAAATGTAGAAATCGCTTGTGATTCAATGAGATGCAATTACTAATGAAATTCACTTGAGTTCGATGAAATTCAGTAGTTGTAGGCTAGAACCCGTAAGACTTTGACAGTGGTTAGCTGGTAATTGTCAGACGGAAAATCGGCGCCGAGGAATTCCTCCTGCCTTAACCATACTTGCAGGATCTATAGCACTGTTATAATCCAGTCAGTCTTGATAATCTTTGAATCTGGCATCATCAACTTCTATCTATTGCACAGAAAACATCATCTACTGACTCTTGGCTAACAATAACGAATAAAATAAGAACACATCTTTCTCCAATGCAGATTAAAACTGCCTTCATGGAAAAATCCGACTAACATGCCCCAAATAGTCTTCAACATCAGTATATTCAGTAGAACACGGAGAAAACTGTCGTACCTTTGGTAATAAATAATTGATGACGGCGATTTGCGTGATTGAGAAGAGAAGTAGCCATAAGTGGAATGTATGAAGGCGAGCACGTTCGATGGCTCGCCAATGCTTCACCAACACACTGCGTATCTCGCAACGAGTTCGTGACGATGGACTCGACTCTCGATCTCGTCCATTCAATGGCATACTATCACCTAAGTACCATCAACTTCGACCGATAACTGCTGAATGTTTATTTATCAATACACTCGATTGTTGTCAACAAAAAAATTGATCGGCTTTAACTCATTTGAAAACCATTGAAAATCTTGACGCACACGAAATCACAACAACAACTGATACGAGAGCGCAACCTCAGTCTTTTTAATTAACACACTGTAGCGCTAATCACTGCACTATTGCTGGCCGCCAATGCAGATGGTGAGACTCTGTGTGGATTAGGGCAAGAAGCTTTCTCGTTTTCGAGGAAAGATTCATCAGAAATTCCGGAATCTGATACAGATTCACCTTCAATAGTATCGATGAAAATATGAGTGACCAAAAGTTATGAAGCGATGTGCGGCGGCATTATTTTAGTGCTTCAAGCTGTTTCATGTCAAAAGCACCTGAGAGTGAAGTTTGGTCCGAAGTTAGATTTATGTTACGGAAATCAATGAGATGTCAAAAACACCTGTTTGAAGAAGCACTAGAATGGAGTGGGCGCGCTAAAGCATTTGATCACCAGAGAGCACTTAACTATTCATTATCCAACCTCTAGTCACTTCAATCGCAGAAGAATAAACGACTTTAAGGAAGTTTCTTGTTACCTTCTTCGTTACTTTCCTTCAAACTTTGCTACTTTTCAATGCGTAGAATGTTTTTCTCAACGCTGGAGATTAATTTCACATAGGTGGTGAACCAGCTCAATGCGGTACGATTAGTGAGATTTGAGAAAATGTGAATTTATTTATTCCATATGAGAAATTTTCGGTTAGTAATAATGATTTCACTCCAACGTTGCAACAAAAATTATGTCCTCGTACTCAGAACCTGGCCTTGTTCTTTGGATTTCCGGGACGATAATCGCTTGTCATTGATCGATTGAGTCATTAGTGGTCTTGTTATTGCATCGAACGGAAAGATTAAAATAAAAGCGCAAAGGCAAAAACATTGCCTTTAAAAATAGTACTCTTCAACATCAAAATCTCTTGACAATAAATCAAATAGTCCTCATTACTAGGCTATTGATCCCAGTTTATTGGTTTCCATTTCTCATGGTGAGCTCTGGAATTGTCAACTGATAGTCTAAAGCAGACTAGATTCACAATGGCTCGTTAATGTCCAAAGAACTACAAGAAGGTGAAGAGCTAAGAGATGTTAACAATTCACTCTTATGCTTTCGTTCATCTAGAAAAATTTGCTCACAAAAATGAACATTTGTAATATTGGTGAATAATGGCAGCAGAATCACAAGGGGGATAAGCAAGGCGAAAAAGTGCGCTGCAAAATGAACTGAACAAAGAAAACAAACAAGCTGAAAATGAGTTGGATGTATGAGTTGACAATGTCACTATGAGTAAATCCATCAGATTTGAACAAAAAAAGGTTCCTAGTTCATCACTGAATGTTACATGATGCTCAGTGCGAGTGCTATGAATGAAATTAACGGAGATAAAAGCCTGCGCTGAGCTCGCAATCAGCTTAAATTTAGCGTATCTCAACTGAGCTGAAGAGTTAATCAAGTGGAAATAGTCTCATAAAACAATAACGATGGATGAATGAATAGGTGGATGAAAAAGTAAGGAATACGAAATGAGAATTTAGAAATGATGAAAGCGCAGAAGGAACCTACGAGAATGCCTGACTATTTGAATATGATGATGAGCACATAATATTGCTTGCGATTGTTGCTTGACATCCTCATTCTCAAAGGGCTTTCTTCCATAAGCATTCAATTTGACAACAAACAAACGGCTGCTGGCCTCTTCTGATCAAAGACAATGCGCAATGAATTGTGTTTGCACTTGAGTGAAGCCCGTCTAGGAATGAATGCTTTCACTTGGATTAGCATTAATTTAGAGTGTTGCTGTTAGCAAATTATTCATTTGTGAGCAATAACTATTTAATTATATGTTCGAATTGATTACGTGTNATCTTAATTCAGTTTATCGTCAAGCACAACACATTCGCGAATGATTGATACACGCATACATACATGTGCGTTCTTAAAGATCCCATAAATTTTGTGCTAATTATCACTCATTATAAACGAATAAATCTAGTGTATCCTCAAGTACATTGTAGTGGCTGTCAGATAATGAACACCTGTGGTGTTTGCTGGAATTTCTATCGAATATGTATCAAATTGTATCAAATTTGTATCAATTTCGAAATTCTTCGCGTGTTTTCATTATTGTTTTAGGTCGTGAATCACGCCAACATGATATTTACATGTCATCATGGATGAATTTTCTCGACTAACTACAAATTTGGTCAATTCCGTTGAAGGAGAAAAGAGTTACTGGATAATGCTTGCAGCTACTGACTGACTCATCCACATAACACTGGCTGAAATTACGCCGTATCGTTTTCAAACAAAATATATTGTAGGATTCGGTCTCTTTGCAAATCACATAAGCCTTAGGCAGGCAGGTATTACGCAATGCAGCAAGCAATTTTGAGGTGGAAAATAGCAGAAAATTTCCTTCCAACATGATTTCCTGTCAATGAGCTCGGGAACTTAAAATGAGTCAACTGAATGACTGATTGTCTTGTTGGCTTTAGATGCTGAACAATTTAAGACACCACCCTTGAGGGTGCAAAAAATTTGAGAAATTGAAGACTTTTAGCAGTAAGTAGAGGACAAAAGCGCACATATATCATTACTTCAACTGGTCGCAATTACAACCTCATTGCTAACGGTTTCAGAATTGAGCGCGATTCGTATGCAGTCAGTTGGCGATTTTGACTGCGTATCGGGATGAAAAGCAATAAAGCAGTATGAAAATGACTGGAAAACAACAATGAAAATCGATGAAAATTATGGATGTCGGCGATAAAATTGATCTCATTTATGTGATGGAATCTGGCCTCGGATCGTGCTTTTATGAACTCAATAATGGATTATTATATGGTATAAAAAGGCTCTTTTATAGGGCATTCTCGATTGAAAACGAGACCGAAAGCATTGAGACAATGGATTAGAGTTCATGCGCACGTCGAACATTTCATATTAACATATTACAAAAAAACCACATTATGACTTATTCAGTGATATGGCATGACGTGAATTTATGTGATGTTGCATGCTCAATGAGAAAAAATATAATAATTCATTTCATCCGATGTAACTGAATGAGGTAAAAATTTCTGAAACAGTTAAATTAGTGATAACGTGCGATGATAGTCGATGGAACGAAGGCTGAAGGGGATGGATGCTATGTCAAATGAGAATATAGGCGATCAAAGAGATATCGTCGCTAAATTTGCAACAAAGAAACGTTAGCTGATATATTGAATCAGTTAGCTGAATCGATGAATTTTGAGTCATTGAGAAGGCAAAAATAATCAATCATTCATAGTGCGTGATTATCCATTATCACTTGATCGAACAGGATGATTATCGTGTTTGGGATAGTTTTCTCAACTACTTCAAAGCTTTTTGCAATGATATCTTCAGTTTTGAGGTGATCGGAATGAGAAGTAACAGTCGAAGTTAGAATTTTCCTCAATATTATGAGTTTTCTCACATCAAAAAGGAATCCTCCGTTCGCTGTTAGGTGTTCATTACAGATCCATGGATAAGAGAACGTATGTGAATGCAGAAACGTTGAAGAAGCTACATCAGCTGGAAAAAGGACCGTTCTAAAATATCAACGCTTTGCTCTCGCACATCATGAGGATTACGATCATCTCAGTGATGTTTTGACCGACTTTGTCTCAACTAGTCCCTTTGATTCGGGATTTTGGTAGGGCAGAGCCACCTAGTAACTGATTCGCTGGCCAGCACTTCATGAGGCATCCTAACTTCAGAAGCTATTAATATCGTTACGGATAAGATGAGGAAAAGAAGAGGTAAACCTTCAAAAATGTGAACTATTATAGCTGAACTCATCAAGTTTATATTACGGAAATAAATAGTGATAGATGGATGGACCAGTGAGAAGCATGCATGACTTCAAAAAGACAAGATTAGAAATGCGATTAAATGGCGAATGAAAAGTAGTTGATATTCGCTGAATGGCTGTTGATAGGATTATTGTCCGCGTACACAATTGGCCTTTTTAAGCGCAAATTTGCTGTGATCATCGTAAATTAGCATTAATAATATCTTCTTCGATTCCATTCATCCATCCATCCATCCATCCATCTTTCTTCTAGTCTTAAATACTTCGAGCAATTGTCACGTCACTCTGCCTGAATTGAATCAGCCTCAAAATGGATTTCGTAATATTCGTTGAACATGTCCAATACGACGATATGTTTGTAACTGTACTTATACGCAATGAATTTGATACAAACAACAGAGAACTGGGCATCTGTCTTCAATTGAGATCCACACAAACAATACTAGTTATGAAGTAGATTAACAAAGATGCTTGTAACTGCATCGAGTGAGCCTCGAAAAGATTTCATAACATTCAAACATATATTTGTGGTTGTACTTGTAGGCAATGGATTTGCAGTACAAACTGCAGAACACTCGCCGTTTCTTCAATAGAAGAAATCCACCCACAAACAATAGTGATAATGAAATAAACTGGCCAAGAAATTTGTAACTTAAAGAGCTCAAGCTGAAAGCGCAATATATTTAGTTTTTGACTAAATTAATTGTAAATGGCTTCAAGGCGACGACTCCCAGATTGCAGAGGATTTCGCTTCATAGCTTGTTTCCAAATTCATAATCTCCGTATGAGCTATGAATTATCCCAAATTCGAATCAAATCTGAAAAGAGCAAAACAAGACGGACCAACTGAAAAGCGGTTTAATCAAACAGCGATTGAATTGAGACGGCGCTCATATCCGCCGCAGTATATGCGATCTTCTGATCTCATCATATT